CGCTTCAACTCGCCTGGGGCACCAAAATGGCTAGAGCCAGCAATGGTGTTATTCATTCATTCAAGTTCATTTAAACAAGGACAGCGGAGTAAATGATAAAAACAAAGCAGCCAATGTTTTGTGTGAAGGTTTAATAACCACAGGCTAATTTTCAAACGCAATCTTTGGTTAGTGAAGAGTGTGGAACAGCTGAAGTTACTGCACATAACCAGATTATAAAAAGAGAACAATTCCATTTAAAATTTATAACTTGAATTCATTTTTCTTCATATTTAACAACAAATCTAGCTTATCATCAGGTACACAACAAAACAAAACAAATGAAAAACAAATAAGCGGTTATTCCATCTGTTATTTTAAGTCAACCAAACTGAAAACGGCAGCAAACTATCTTCAGACATAAAAAGAATTAATTATTTTCCCCATGCAGGCAACAGTTATCTATAACACTCTTGTTAAACAAATGAGCAGAAAATAAACGATTATGAGCTGCAGCATTAAACTACAGGGCATCATCACTGTAATGATTTCCCCCAATGTCAACTTTGTATTTATGTAAAACGTGCAGAACTGTGCTCAGACACTAATTAAAACATGTCTAACAATCTGCAGCAACAATAATCCTGTATTTGTAATGTGTTTAGTTGTTCATCAGAAACTGATCAATTTCAACAAAACAACACTAATATATGTATATATTTTCATTTTTACATAAGAGTTCATAATTGGAGTATAGCAATTCTTCATGTTGTAAAACAAATGAGTTCAGATTCATAACCGACTCGCTTTATTTTTCTCCACAGGCATAATTTTATGGCCACAGTCAGGGGCCAAAATAAAATCCAGCAGCTATTGTCATGTCATTTCACCGGGAGGGGAAAGTGATGCTGATGGAAGTGAAGACAGAGCCGGGAGGAACCGAACCACGGGAGAGAGAGAGTTAAGCACCGCACCGGCACTGATGAGGATGCAGCGATGGCAGCGTGACGGAGGCAGAGATCAGTGGCGTGTAGCCTCTGGCTCATTAACACTCCGTCGCATTACAGGCAATAAAAATAGAAGGCATAAAAAGTGACATCTTCAGCTGAGAGGACACCTTCTCTTTGTCTTCGGTTTTTATTTTGCTTGTTATTCCCTCGTTTCAGAATCCTCTAAATGTGATAAATAAATGTTTTTTTCTGTGTTCAGTAAATGAGTTCTGCTCAGTTCCTGCAGGACACGATGTGGAGCAGCCACAGTTTCTGAGCTGAGAGGTGAAGGGTGAATTACAGTAATTAGATGTTAGAAACTGAGGGGATTAAAGTGGGGTTTTTCTGAAGAAAAGCAGTAGAATCATGGCTCAGAAGTAATTTTAATGCTAGTGAAACACAATACATTTTAGAATAAAATGTCTTGTCCTGAACAGCAACTTCAACCTTGAGCAAAATGTAAACATATTTCCTCTCTCCTTAATAAATATCTCATAATTAACATTTTTAAGGTTCATTCATTCCTAAATAACTTATAGCCTGAAAAAAAACTAACAGGTTGTCAATAAACTTACTATAATTGTTTCTTTAATGCTTAAATAATCCTGAATAAGGACGTTGCTTTGACTTCAGAATCTCTTTTGAAAAAGATGTTTTGTCATAAAGTGGCTCAAAGTGAAATAAATGAAAGCTCTGCACTTAGAGAGATTTAATTTAAACTGTTTTTAAGCATTTTCAGTGATTTAGGCAGGGCCGGCCTGCAGTGTAGGCAAATGTTATTGGTGCCATCCATCTTGTGGGGGAGACAATTTTTTTTCTTTATATAACTTTTTATCAGAGTATTGTAGTCTGTAGAATATTCACTAGTTACTCAGGTTTATGAAGGGTATATATGGTGCAGAGGATATTTTGTGATAAAAGTGCTGTAGTTGCTAACTGCAAAACTAAATTTCTCATTTGTGCTTTAGGGGTTTTATTAAAAATTTTGAACTTTGTGCGAATTTGCGCTTTATAAATTAAAATCAGCAGCACTAAAGAAATGATTTAATCAAATATTGATCGTCATTATCTTGAATAGTGGAGGGAGAAAAACGTTTTAAGGTAATATTTACACATCCAAAACAGTTTGTTCTCAGGGGCTATAGCTGACTGTTATTCTGGGTCACGGTTTTCATTGAAGAGACAATTCCCACAATTCTTTGCTTTTGTGTAGCAGGAAGCAATTGGAGCTACGTCACTGGGCGACACTCAGGCCCTTTCCCAATTGGTGGCTACACACTCGCCCTACTCCCTACACACTACATTCGCTGTGATGCACCCACGCAGCTGAACTGAGTCCCCATGATGGAGCTGTATACACCCTCCTC